TGCGGGGAACCATGCAAAAAACGCATCTTCGCACGGGCAGCCCGTGCGTTGGCCAATTATTTTAATATGTATACAGATTTCATAAGTAGTATTTTCACCAGTACTTTTTTTAGATTATCAGTTTATTTCTAAGCACCTCTCAAAATAAGAGGCCAACGATAGCCCTGTCGACGACTGGTTGCTGATTACTCGAACTCGGGCTAGTTCAAAATTACTCGGGATTATTCCAAATTCCTCTGCGTCTCGAAGAAAGTTTTATATTATGGGGAGTTTTTTTGACTTTTCACTTCGGCATTTTTTCCTTATGTTTGTGAGGACATTCTGAGAAAGAAAAATATGATAATACCAACGATGAGGATTTTACTTTACAGTCTGCCTCCTTAGCTTTTATAAATTTCTGTTTTAAAAATCACATGGATCTTAACTTTTTTAACTTACTAGTAATACTTTAGCCAGCTGATACACCATATGCTGCTTGCCGCATTTGACTCAGCAGACAATGTTTTCAGTTTTTTTCTTCTCGGAATTTTGCTATAAAAGCGTGCCTTCCTACTAGATCACCCAAATTGTTTTTTTTTTTTTTTTTCTTTCCAGTATTTTTTAACATTCATTTCCCTGCACATATCAGAAAGACATGTAAGAAATATTGATCTTTCAGACAATGTCAATGCTTGAAAAAATTTTGCAAAGACGTAAAGACATGAAATCCGTGACGGGCATGACTGCTAACCGGGAAAAAGAAGTGGAGAAGATGGAGGATGAAGTTCCAGTTGGCACATTAAATTACGACGGAGAAGAAGACCCGGATATTGCAGAACTGTAACTTTTATTCACTTTTAGATTAACGGTCATACTATTACTTAGATATTTGCTCTTCAACTTATTTGTTCATTCGCACTCGAATTTTGCTGTGATTTATAGTTTACTGCTCCAACTACCCGGCTACCGGTCAGGCCGGAAACAGTTGTTTTGGCCAGTGCTACGTCGCGTCGTATTAGTCAACATGCTGGCGATAAAATATTTGTCTCGTGCTTAATTATCATATATTTAAATTTCTTCTAAAATATGCTCTCTGGTCAGTAACAGACATTTTATAATAACCAGTCCTCTTTCCTTCCCTCCTCTTCCCCATTTTTCTTCTGTCCGCTCCTTTCCTTTTCCTTCTCGTCTCCTTACTTCCTCCTTTTCCGTCCTCTTCTTTTGCTTTGGCTCAGATTTGTTTCTCATTTATTTTTACGGCGCATTACCTCCTTATAAACACATTTTAAGTGATCCTAATTAATCAAAACAGCAGCTCTCGTACTAAGGGGTCTAATACAGGATAGGAATGTGAGGACTACATACAGTAGCATATTTGAATATTTTCAACGCTGCTGATGCTAATACTAATTCATGTTTGAAATAATCGGATTTTTGAACTTTTTGACTTCCTAACATTATCGGTTTATACTTTTATACTCATTGAATGTAGCAGTTATGAAATGTTGTCCAACGGGGTATATTTTCGGGATGATGCATTTTTTTTCTCTGTAACCCAGGCAAATTTAATTTTAGTGTTAGTCATACGTTTGTGGCGCCTGAAGAGGAGAACGAAGTGAGTAAAGCAAAGGATGCGAATTTGCGGGAAGAAAGTGAGGATTGGTACGACATTACGGACCCACGTAACAAAATGAACCAACGAAGACGAGCTGTACAGTGATCTTTCCAAAATCATGTATATAGTGGAAACAGAAGCAAAATAATAAATACCAAAACAAGCAACACTGACAACTGCTGTGATGCCACAGAAAAAACATGACACAGAATCACTTCCTCTTGTCCCCTTTTCCAAATAAGGTCCGTATTGCAAAAATCAGTTCGATTTCTTACATGTAAAAAAAAACTTCCACGGTTCCCATGGTTTTTTGTGGTACCGAGGTACCACAATTTCGACCGGTTTCCTGAGTTGGCTTTTTCGAGCTTAGCCTGACCCAGGTTTGAGCTAACTATTAAAAGTCGAGTTCTTTGCAAAAATTTTTGAAGGATTGAAGAGCTGATATGATTGGTACCGGCGTATGAGAATACCGAGTCATTCTAGCTGCAGTACAGAGTGAGTGCTGTTTAATTCATGCAGTGAAGTCAGTGTTTTGGAAAGTAGCTGAAGCTCAGACTGTGTTCGAGTCGGATCGCAAGCTCCTCTTCCGTTGAAAACAGAGTTTAGTCATGGGTCATAACCGGAAATTTGTTGTGATTTTCTGAATGCACCTCAAAGGTGCTGCTTGTTTCAATTCTTCCAGCTAGAGCATGGCAAAATTTACGACCTTCACCGTTTAGAATTTTAACGTGAACACCAACTGTAGATGAGACAAAGGTCAAATTAAATGTCGTGCAACGCCGAACTTCCTAAAACGTCGTCGAACTTTCCAGAAACTTTAGGCAAAAATGACATCAATTTCAGGACTGAATTGCTAACTGAAACTCATCGGCTAACAGTTTAAGCCTGAAGTTGACGCCATTTATATTCGCCCACTTCCATGCCTGGGTCGTGTTGGAAAAGACTTGTCACTGTATCTCAGTGGATTTCCTGTTGGAAGCTCTTCATAATAAAAGAGAAAGCATGAAATTATTTCAAAAGGCGAAAACTGCTTTATGTGCGGCAGAGTGTTTCAATATTCACGCATACTTCTCAGAAAAATCGAGCTGTAATATAAAATAATTGGCCAGCGCACGAGCTGCCCGTGCGAGGATGCGTTTTTTGCATAGTTTCTCGCAGTTTTTATCGCTACCGGCATCGATTCTTTCGGCAAATGCTTTTAGCTAAAAAAGTTAAGACTGGCCGCCAGAACTGGCACGAAACACCTCCTTATAACTTTTGCTTCCTAGCTTTCCTGGGTCCTGATTAGCAACTTACCGGAAAAAAGATTTCTCGGCAACGCACGTGAGTGCCACACATGCCCCATTTCTGGAACTGAGAAGCTCACTGCGACTTCGACGGAGAACAACCTCTTAAAACTACAGTCTTCCAGCTTTCAGTCCCGAGTTACCAACATACCCGAAAAAAAATTGGCGAACCCGCAAGCGGGTACCACGCTTAGCCGGGGGCTGGGTTTGAGCTCATTAATAACAATCTGGTCGGGGAACATCCCCCTAAGATTTCAGTTTTCTAGCTTCTCAGATCCCCAAGCTATTAACTCATCCGAAGAAAATTTGGCGGGCCCGTACGCGAATACCACGCTTTTTCGGTGGATGGGTTCCAGTGCTTTCACATCTACTTGTACGGGGAACATTCCTCTAAGATCTCATCGCTCTAGCTTCTCAGATCACCAAGTTATGAACTCCGAAAAAAAATTTGGCGGGCCCGTGCACGGATACCACAACTGTACGGCGGATGGGTTTCAGTGCATTAACATCTACATGGAGAAGCGTGGCATCCGCGTACAGGCCTGCCAAAATTTTTTTCGGAGAAGTTCATAATTCGGTGATCTGAGAGGCACTGTGGTATCGGTAAGAAATATATGTGACTTAATGGACCGAAACATTTCTTACCTAGCTTAATACTTTTTTATATCCTTCCTTTTTTATGCGTTTTTTGCAGCTATGCAGTGCAGAAAACGCATATTGACGAGAGGTTGTCTGTGT